TATACGTGAGGCAGAATTGTTCCCTCACCTGGAAGCTGCCATCACTTCTAGCCAACCCACCCCTGCCCCCACGTCCCTAACCCTTTGCAACCACTGATCTGTTCTCTGCCTATAATTTTGCCATTTAGAGAATGCTCTGCAGGTGGGCTCAGATAATGTGTGGCCTTGGAGACTGGCTTTTTTACAGCCGGCCCTAAGCCTTTGGATCCTGTGCGCATGGAGGGACACCATCCACACACACACCCCACGCGTGTCTCTAGTTCACGCCTTCTTATTGCTAGGTACTATTTGATGAAATGGAGAGTCTTGCCCCAGAATTTCAAATATTCTACTGAGCATGAAATACTTTCATTTTCAGGAAGAAGAAAGCTACTGGGAGGGAGGATGAGATAACCCATGCAGAAAGCAGCAGTCATAACTTCACAGAAATTTTGTTTTGAATTAAATAATAACATTTGGGGTTTGGAGAGCCCTGGGCGGTCACCCGAGGCGGGTGTTCTCCTTGCAGATCCTGACAGGTAATTGTGCAGCATCTGTGTGGACACTCCCAGTCACAAAGAAGCCATTACCATATAAAACAGTTCATTAAACTGACACAAAGTATGCCTTTCTTCCTGGAACTTGGGCATGACTGAGAGGCTGCAGACCTTTTCAAATGGAATTCTGCACGAGCCCACAGAGGTGCGCAACCCCCAAGGAATGCTCTCCCTTCTGCAAGGCTGGAAATGCCCCCCAGAGGCTCTGAGCCACTAACCAACAACAGGAAAGGTGGGTTAGTGTGGGTCCACCTTTCCTACTTCAGACCTGAGAGCTGTTCCCTGAGCGCTGGCTCTGATCTGTCCATGGTTCTGATAACTAATAGCTTCATGGGGGAAGGCAGAGAGGTTCTCTTGTTCACCATTCCTTCACCACAGCATTAACTGAGCGTTTACGACACGCCAAGGATGCCTTCTATTCTATTCTTTACTTCTTCTTATTGAGGTATATCCTACATAACAGAGAGAGCACGGTCACAAATACACAACGAACGTTCACGCCAAGAATACGCGCGTAGCACAGCACAAAGGCCAGGCTGCAGAACTTTATCAGCACCCAAGGTGGCCCCTGATATGCCTTCCTGGCGCTGCCCCAACTCTGGCCACTATCTTCACCTTTAACACCATAGATGAGGGCTTCTTTCTTTCTTTTTTCTACTTTTAAACCCACGTCATGGATCAGACAATTTCTTCCTTCTTTTGTGTCTGCCTCAGGAGCCCAACACCGTGTGTTTTCACGTTCCAAACAGTTGCCATCCACTCACCCTCATCGCTGTACAGCATCACTTTGTGTGACGTGTGCCTTGATTTATCCATTGTACTGGTGGGGGCGGTGTTTGGGCTTTTCCGAGTTTTCTGCTGCTATGAATGATTGCTGATTATATCCCCCGAAAGCCAGACGTGGAAAATATCCTAAGTCACAAATGCATATAACACACCTAACTCAGAGAACATCATAGCTTAGCCTAGCTCACCTTAAGCATGCTCAGAACATGCAATTTACTGGCCACTGTGTGGAAAGGGATATGCCACCTGCAGCTCACAGGCTGTTTCCCCGTGATCACGGGGCTGGCTGGGAGCTGCGCCTCACTGCCACGGGGAGAATCACAGGACGTCTAGGTATCCTGGGAGGGCACCCAAACTCGAAATGCCATCTCAACTGAGCTTTTTCTGCTTTCATATGGTGGTACAGTAAAACGGTATGCCAGGGACTGTGTGTGTGCTGTGTGTGATATTCCTGTACATATACGGACAGGGATGGAGGGATGGATGGACGGACGGACAGACGGATAGATGGACAGATGGATAAGATGGAAACATTTTTCAATGCCCATTTTTCAGATGAGAAAACTGAGGCTTAAAAATTTAAGTTAGCGGCCCTCCCTGGTGGCGCAGCGGGTTAAAGCACAGCACTGAGAATCTGAAGCCACTTCCGCATGAGTTCGATTCCCGCCTGCCGCCTGCCTCGGAGGAGACCACATGGCGGCAGACCTCTCCTGACCTGCCCGCTGCTTCCCTCAGCAGTGTACTTCGTAGATCTGCCTGTTCTGCTCCCCACTCTGTCTCTGGTGAAGCCTCTCACCGCCCCTGAGCCTCTGGCCTGTACCCCAGTTCTGTATGCACAAATAAATAAATAAATCTTTAAAAAAAAAAAAATTTAAGTTAGGAAGTAGTAGAGTTGGCGGTGAACCCAGCCTTGTCAGGCACTGGAGCTTAATTAAGCCCTCTGACCACCGTGCCTGCTGCCTGCCAACACACAGGCTCTTTAAAAGAACTCACAACATGCCAGACTGGTTGCTTCCTTGAGGGCAATAAGAAGAGAAGCAGACACCATCACCCAGGAAGGAGAAAGATGCCAGATGCCAGTGAAGGCAGGTGGGTGTGATGAGAAGCCCGGGGAAGGAGGCCACTTTATCTCGGATCAGAGGAGGCTTCCTGGAGGAAGAAGCGTTTGAGGAAGGGCGGGAGCTGATTCTGAGCCACAGGAACAAGTACTCCCTGCAACAGGCCCTCACTGCTCTCTCTGCTTCCTGCTCCTTCCAAAATTCCTGGGAGAGAAGCCTTTGCCTCTTTGCCTCCAACTTTCCATGGCTCCAAATGTTCCCTTGGGAACAGAACTCCACCTCCCTCTGGGATCATCGAGTTGAGGGCCCAGCTAGGTCATCCTGGGTGATCGCACCTTGAGAGCCGAAACTGAATTCCATGCACAAAGACTCTTTTCCACAGGTCACATTCACGGGTCTGGTAAACATGGCTTTTGGGGGACCACTCAGCACACTACAGGCCTGAATACCAGAGCAAACAAGAGCAAGAGGAGTTCCAACTCAGCAGCGGCGGCTTTTCAGAGTGGAGCAGACGCTGGCAGGTGCGTGCCTGTGACTTCAGCTCTGCTGTCCTTGTGTCTTCATTTCCAGGGCCAGGCCCGGGGGTGCGGCTGCACCCTGCTTGCTGCCAGGCTGATTGGCAGCTGTGGGTCTCCAGCCGGGGGTCTCTTTGCAAGCCCAACCAGCCACACGCTGCTCACAGCTGGGGGCTCTGCCCTGGCCCCAGGCGTCCTGCTGGTTTCTTGTCACAAAAGGCTCCCAAAGAAAGCTGGCAACCCCAGGAAAGGAAGAGTCCAGGAAAGTGTGGCTTTTCGCCCAGAGCGGAGGCCGCCCAGAGCCAAGCTGGAGACGGTGGCCGGGCTCCCGCCTGCTGGTTTTTACACCCTGGTGTAATCTCCCTTCCTTGAGTGTAGCTGGATCTGTCTCTGCAGAGCGGAAATTGGGCCACAAAAGAGACGGTGCTTTGTATTTCGTATTGCTCACCTGTCCCTGCTCTCTAGCTTGCTTGCTCGGAAGGAACCGGCCGCCTCGTGGAGTGCCCGACGGAGAGGCACAGGTGGCAAAGAACCAAGACCTCCAGCTAGCAGCCTTCGAGAACCTGAGGTCCTCCGTCCAGCGGTCCTCGAGGAACCACAGCCTGCCAACAGCCAGTGAGAAGCTTGGCCCCGGCTTCGGTGAGGCCATGCTCACATGGAGCTTGGTGGGTGCCAACCCAGGGGCGCCTCCAGGTGACCCCAGATCGGAACGCTCAGAGATTGGGGTCTCTAGATGTCCAGCTAAGCTGCTTGCCTGAGATGATGGATGTTTGCTGTTTGAGCCACCCAGCTTCTCAGTAATTTGTTCAGAGGCGTAGCTAAGTGTGCACTCAGAGAGAGGTGCTACGGGCCCTCCCTGGTGGCGCAGCGGGCTAAAGCGCGGCTCAGCAAGTGAGCTGCAGCCACCTCAGTGCAGGTTCAAGCCCCAGCCCCGGAGGTGGTCCACATGGCGAGGCAGACCTCCCCTGACCGCTTTGCTCCCCACTCTGTCTCTGGTGCACCCTCTCACCTGGCGGGCACCTCAGTTCTGTATGCATAAATAAATAAGTCCTGAAGAAAAAAAGAAATAGAGACTATGTACAGCCAGCCAGGGGGAGCTGTGCTTACAAACTCGGGGACTCATCGATGTCAGCTCACACCCTGCCTTAAGGTTCTACGCACCTCCTCGCGTTCCTTCTATTAGGCTTATATTTTTAAATAAACGACATCAAACTATAGTAGAATGGCAGTTTCCCGTTCTTTTTTTTTTTTTTTTCTGCTTAAAATGGAAGCATTTCCTCGCCTCCTCAAATGTGTGTCAAAGTATTCTTTACTGTCAGAAGTGGTCTGCCTGTGAGTTTGCCCTCTGTTCTGGTTTGCTTTGCTCCTAGGGAAGGGCTGTATCTCCTGGGTTACATCTAACGGGGGTGAGCCCGTCCAGTCCTGAAGGTGAGTACCAAGAAGGCAGGAGCACCCTGGGGAAGCGTGTCTGAACTCGCTATGCGGCCTTGGCTTGTTCCTCAACCCGGGGCCTCAGCTTCCCCTTCTGAACATGCCTACTCTAGGTGCAGATAATAATTAGACCAAATTCGCAGAGCAATGAGAGGCTTCCTTGCCTTAACCCAAGTAGAACACAGCGCAGTACCAGACATATCTTAGGGCACATCGACCCAGGCCGGCCACGGTCCTCGTGGCCCCGTTGAGTCCTGGTCCTCGGCCACATCATGAAATTTGTCTCAGACGTTCCAGCCAACCCCCAATCAACAGTGTCTTGGCTTCTCTCTTGCTGGACAGCTCTCCCTGGCCCTTCTGGTGACCCCAGTTCTGCTGCCAGCCAAATCCTGGGGCCACCACACCCGCTCTCACTGTATGACCCTGGGCAAGTCCTTCTTGTCTCTGAGCCTCAGTTTCCTTACCTGTCATGTGGGAGAGGAGTGAGTTAGGTAATCCATAAAGGATTCCCACCCCTAAGTTTCTAGACTGCTCCCTCTTCTTGCAAAGGTCCTTGGGTTTCAACACTACAGAACATGGTTAGAGTCTTAAACATCAGGCAAAGTGAAAAGAATAGGAAAACGCTTTAATTTTTTCACCATAACATATGTGCTGATAACATATGCTCAGCCCCTGGCGTGAGGGAAGCCTGGCATCTGCTTCCATGCACGTGAAACCTGGGTGAAAAGCTTCAGTCTCTCTTAGCCCCTAGCAGCCCCTGGCCTGCGTGGGTGGGAGAAGCCCTTGGAGCAGACACGGAGCTGGGTGCCCACCTGTCCCCAGCTCCTGCTCTTCCAGCTGCCGTCAGGTCAAGGATCAAGGCAGGGTGGTGCTCTGGCCATTTTGAGGGTAATGGGGGTCTGGGGCTGCCCGGGACGGAGGTGGCACTAGAGCCACATGGGTTTCCCCACTCCTGGGTTCATGGCCAGCATGTGCTTAGACAGCCTCGCCCCCGGTGCATCCATTTTCTCACTGGGCCTTTTCCTGTGTGTGAGAAGAATGACAGCAGAGGCCTCTGGCCCGGCCCTTGAACTAGCTGGGAGCAGCTGGAGGGCTGCTCCGGGCGCCTCCCCGGCTGCACACGGCTGCAGGCTCCCCACTGCAGACCCCTGGGGCAGTCCCAGGCTTCTGGCCAAGGCCACCCTGGCACAGGGGGCCCCTGCCGGCTCCTGCTGGGCCTCTCCCCTCCCCCCAGGGGGTCAGCCCCAACGAGGGTGAGGTCTCAGGGTCTGGGGATGGCGAAGCAGAGGGAGAACCGCTCCCCCATCTCGGCACCTCAGGCTGCTCACACCCGCTGTTGGTGTCCAGAACTTTGGCCCCGGCTGGGCCTATTTGGGCCTGGAGAAGCCAAGGGTGCGGTCTTCGGTCCCCGAAAGGCTGCTTGACATTGGAGAGTTCCCTGGGCTTTCCTGAGCTTCCAATAAACTGCATTTGTAGGATGAAATAAGATCGTGGCACGGACAGGGCCCAGAAGAGCGGTGAGCACGCCATGACGACTTCCGTCCCTGGTGAAACCCTGGGCCAGCCGGTCAGCCAAGAGGCCAGTCTGCAGTGGTCACGGAGGAGGTGTCCCTGTGCTGCGGCTGCTTCCTGAGCCCGAGGAAGGGCCAGCCCAGCTCCAGGCCGGGTCAGAAGTGGACTTGGGCAGAGGCCAGCAGGGGGAAGGCCAGGAGGAGGTGGGGGCTGGGCTCCAGCCCTTGCAAATCAGACACCGAAGGAGCAGAGTTGTGGTCCCTGCCCTGCCCCTGAGGGGCTGAGGGGCAGTGGAGTAGGGGCCCCAGCTTCCCGCTGGTGGGATGCTCCTGCCCGAGGGGCTGCGGGGAGGCAGGTTGGGCTGGTGGCCTGGACAGGAGGGGGCTGAACTTAGAGGAAGGGCTGAGCAGGCTGGAGCCAGTGGGTGAGGCCGGCTGGGCAGGGGTAGGGGGCCGCTGAGCGGCGGGTGTGGTGACTGCGGTGGGACCAAGAGGACGGGAGGAGGCTGGACAGGACGGGCTCTGCGCCTCTGGAGGGACCTGCTGCGCGGGGGGAGGAGAGGCGGGGGAGGGCAGCAGGCCGGGCTGCTTCTGGTGGGCCTGGGGCCTGGGGCCCATGGGCTGCTCAGCCTGGCCCCAGCAGCCGGAGGGCTCCAGGGCAGGGCAGGGGGCAGAGCCCAGGGGGCACAGGCGCTCGTGGGCTCGCAGCGTCTGGCTCCACCAGGACAGCTCGTCCCGCAGGGCCTGGATCTCCTTCCGCAGGGCGTGGTTGTGCTTCTCCAGTGACTCGTGCTGCTGCGGGTTTGGGGACAGAGCAGGGAAGTGAGGCAGCCTGCCCGCTCCCAGGGCCCCCCCCCCAGTCTCCCCCTTGTTCCTGGGAGTCAGGCCCAGACCTGCCTGCTCTGTCCTCTGGTCCCAGGAGCCACCTGCTGCCCACCAAAGGCCTTTTAGAGACTCTGGCAACCCCCCAAGACTGCGCCACCTCTCACACCTCCAGGCTTATCTCCCACTCCTGCCCTTCCTGCCCCTCAAAGGGAAGCTGCTTCCTCAACACACTTCCTGTCCTCTGTCTGGAAGCTCCTACAGCAGCCTCCCCCCACCCTGGGCCAAACCCAGATGTGGCAACTTAGATGTCATTCTGTCTCGGCCACCTCGGGAGTCCTTATGCGTCCTGAGAGATGTCCGGACACCCAGAACTGCCCACTGCAGCTAGGCGAGGAGCTGGTCCTCCAGGCTGGCAGCCAGGGGGTCCCACGTCCCAGAACCGGCATGGATTCTGAGAAGCCTGACAGGTGCAGTTCTGAGTAGCCATTTAGGACAATGACAATGACGGGGAAACGCAGACAGAGCTTCGTGCCACGGCAGGTGTGCCCAGGCGCTGGCCCCACTTCCTCTGGCTCCCGGCCCCCCTCACCCCAGTGTGGACAGGCTCTGCAAAGAAACCATAGAGTGTTTTACATCAAAATGAGGCTTAGGGCCCTGCTGGGTGGTGCAACAGGTTAAAGCACAGCACTTCAAGTCAGCCACCCCTGCTTCAGCACAAGTTCCATCCCCAGCCAGGGAGGGACCCCCAGGGCGCAGCAGACCTCTCCTGTCTCCCCGCTGCCCCCCTCAGCAGTGTACTTCATCAGTCTGCCTATTCTGCTCCCCACTCTGTCTCTGGGGAATCCTCTCACTGCCCCTGCATCTCTGGCCTGTACCCCAGTTCTGTGTGAAAAAATAAATAAACCTTTAAAAAAAAATGAGGGTTAGGCCTTGGGTACCAAGTTCCAACAGGCCTCGGAGCCACGAGCCCATCCCAGGCTCTGCGAAATTTTGGGTTCACCTGCAGAAATCTAGTCACTTACTGGCTTGTTGGTTTGTTTAAGCGTTCGTTCATTCGCCGCCTTCGGGCTGTCTGAGTAATGCCCACCCTGCAAAGCACCCCGTGTGGTTACTACACCCACTCCCTTCTTTCTTCCGGCTTGTTTTCTCTCCATGGCATTTACGGCCAGTGTGTCCTGGAGCACTCACTTGTCTGTCCACAGCCGCACTGCACGTGCACTGCTCACAGCTGCGCCTGGCTGCAGGCTGCTGAGGGGGGAAGGGCCTCGAGGCCTGAAGGCGGGGCGCTCCCGCCTCGGGCTCACTCTCGCCTCGGGCTCACTCTCGTGGGAGCTACAGTGCGTGGTTCCCTCACACTGGAGACAGGGCCGTGCCATCTGCCCACAAGGCCTTTTCTTTCCTTCATGCTTTTGGAAAACTCCTTTTCACCCTTCAAAACCAGGTCAGACATGCCCTCCCTTTCTCCTCCACGACCTGCCTGTGTTCCCAGAGCGCTTAGCTCTTCCTCTGTCTTCTACCCCACAGGGAATTATCGGCTACCTGTCTGTCAGGCACTGTTCTGGCTGACAGGGAAGCAGCAGGGAGCGGCTCTCTGCCCTCCTGACACTCACATCTGGTGCCAGAAACAACCGCGAACATCTAAATAGGTAAGAGAAGGTCAGTACCAGCGAGGAAGGTGGGTGGAGTAACCAAAGGGAGCCTCTATTCACATGGTTTCGAAAAGCCTTTCCAAGGCAAGCCCCAAAAGACTGGGACCTGACTGGCTATGTCTGGGGGCAGGGGACAGCCAGGGCAGAGCCCCTGAGGCTGGCCAGTGAGCAACAGGGACGCAGGGTGTTAGTCCAGGGAGGCAGGTAAGGGAGGGAACAGAGTGTTGGGCCGGTGGGCTGGGAATTTCACTCCTGAGCACAGGGACAGGGGCGTGCAGCCCTCCCCCATCCACACAGAGGAAGAGTGGCCAGGCTCAGGTTAGTGCTGTGGAGCCCGCCCCTCCCCCGCTGGGGTTCCGAAGCAGGGGGGAGGGGGGTTGCCTCTGTCTTCGGACCACAGCAGAGCTCAGATGAGGAAGTGACTTGGAGCTTTGCTGCTGGGACCCCAGCACCAGCCCCCCATTGTGTGCTCAGGGTCACCCACTCAGAAGGCTGGCTGACGGGTGCTGAATTGCACTGCCACTCCCCATGGGGCCTCAGGAGGTGGGAGCTGAGGGGCGCAGCGCCCCGGCTTGAGTCAGACCAGTCCCTGAGTGCTGACTCCTGGTCTCCGCTGCTCTTTGTGTTCCCAGATCCCAGCACTTAGGCGCAAGGTTCACACTCCGCACACCCAGGAATTTCCAGACCTCAGCCACAGAGGCTCCCTCTTCCAGCTGTGGCAACTCTGGCACCCAGAGCCCGATGGGGGGAGCTGGGGCCAGTGGCGGGGCAGCCCACCTGGTGCAGGGCGTCCGCCTTGTCCGTGTGCTTCTGCCGGCTGCGCTGGGCCGCCGCCCGGTTCTTCTGTTTCTTCTTCAGCTGCTTCTGATGCTCCGAGGCGTCCTCCTGGGTGGAGGGGCAGGGCTTCAGGGGCCTGGAGGGACTGGCACCCTCATCCTGGTCAGCTGTCCCAAAAGGCCGCTCATCCTGAGTGCATTGGTTGGGGGTGACTCTCCTAGAAGCCACCTCTGCCCGCCTGTACACCCACGACCCCCACCCCGGGCACAGCACACCTCTCTGGCCTGCCAGCCTCACCCACACGCCCCACTGACAGCTCAGGTTTGGGGAGGCCACCTGGGCAGCCTGGGATTTGAACCCACACACCTCTCCTGACCAGCTGTGCCTCTGGGCCACCTTATGCCCCGGAGGCCATAAGTGCCTTCCTCAAGGTCAGAGAGCAGTGGCCTGGGCAGCCAGAGATGGGGCTTCACAGGGGTCAGTGCCACATTTGCTGGGGCCTTGTCACTGTCAAGACGCTGGCCGCATGGGACTGGGGCAGGCCAGCCGGGCTGGGCTCCCCTCGCTGGTGCCCAGAGCAACCCCAAGGCCTCACTTCACCCATCTAACAAGCATTCATTGAGCACCCACATGTGCCAGGCGCTGAGTGAGAGGGCCACAGCAGCAAAGGAAACAGGCAGACCTCCGCCATGAGGATGCTCATCCTCAGGGGGCGACAGCCTGGGGTGGACGGACGAGCCAGTGCCACCAGGGATGGACGCAGAAGCTGCGGCTTGACTCCCCCCGACTCGGGTCCAGGAAGCTTGGAGGAAATATTTAAACTTCCCGAGCTCTGGAGGGAATATTGACTACCTCCCAGCCCAAACCCTCCCAGCCGTCGCCCTGGGGGGAGAGTGTAGGGAGATACTGGCTCCGCACACCCCCTCCAAAGCAGGGCCCATCCGGGTACTGGGGGCTGAAGCAAGTGGGGCTGGAGTGGGGGTGGGTAGGGAGGCCACAGTGAGAGAGGGCTGGGCCTCTGGTAATGGGTCCTGGGAGAGGGGCAGGAACACCCAGGAGAAACATGGCCAGATAGTTTGGAGAAGTATAGCTAGACGGGAAGAGAACAGAGCTAGACGGGAAGAGAAGATCCCTCCAAGGCAGGGTGGGAGGACAGGGGGAGTGCGAGTATCCAGAAGTCCCAACAGAGGCCAGCTCTGCACCCCCAGAGCTGGGAAGTCCTCATGCCAACCCCCTGGTTTTTCCTGACAAGAGACTGCGGCCCAGAGGGGGGGTGTGGAGCCCACACAGCACATGGGGACAGAGCTGGCATGAGGAGCTCTGATGCCTCCTCCCTCAGGGACACAGGGACCCTCAGACGTGTCCCCTTCTCAGCCTGCCCTGCCCTGTACTCACTGTCCCAGGCAGCAGCCCATCGCCCCCACAGAGGCGCATGGCTGGAGCAGGAGAGCAGAAGCTTGCGCTGGACCCAGATGTCTCTAGTCGCTGTGACCTCCCAGTGCCCTCTGGGGGCCCAAGGAAGTAGCTGCTCTTTAAATCCAGTGACCACTCCACCCCCAGCAAGGCGAGTTTCAGTTTCTCCTAAAGGCACTGGCTGCTCAGAATTCCTGGCTCGGGCTTGCTCACGTGTCTGGAACTTCCTGACAGACGCTGGTCTTCCGGCCACCCTGTTTGTGGGGGGCGGGGGGGGCGGCGGTGTGTGTAGGCAGGTGCCAGGTGTGGCAGGGCGCTCTGGAAGGCTCTGCCAGACAGAGCCAAAAGGAAAAGCCAGTGGGGACTGAGGGTTCGTGTGGGCTGGGGGCTGGGGAGGCCCGGGCTCCCAGCCCACCTCTGGCCCCCTGGAGCTGTGCAGATTTGAGGTGTCTCACCCTCTCTTGGCCTTAGTTTCCTCATCAGCAGAGAGTGTGGGAAGATGATACAAATATCCGCTCACAGACTTGATGTGAGTTAAACAAACCACCCCCGGACCCTCTGAGACCCACGTTGAGCATATCTGCAAAAATAAGCAGTGGCCCTTCACTAGAACAGATGGACGAATGTGCCAGTTTCCCGGCAGCAGTGTCCCGGCAGGAGGAGGGCTGTGGCACTGAGCCGACGGACGCGCACTTCTGTGCCTGGCTTTCTGACCTGCAAAGTGAAGGTGAAAACGACTCTGTTGCAAACACTAAAGAACTTAAGGCAGGTGAGGTGCCGGGACCATCCCAGGCACAGAGAATGCCACAGACTTGGGGTGTCCACGTTTCTGGATTCATGACACAGTGGAAGTCCCCAAGGTTGTCGTCACACTGACCGGAACATCCAACTGTATGAAAATAAACGGTTGCAGCAAGATGCGAACAGCAGCAATCTGTCTGGGTCAGTAACGCAGACCAGCGAGTGTGGCTGTGTAAAAAGCGTGGGGCTGAGAAACAAAGTTCCATGAGCGATGGGGGCGCAGGGGGGGACACGCAGGAGCTTCAAAAGTGCCTTTGGTGTCGTATTGCTCAAGCCGGGGGTACAGTTCTCCGTAACAGCATTTTTATCCACACTTTGGGGACATACTTCATAGTGAAACTTTTACTAAGGACCTTGAACCCCAGAGCCTCAGGGAAAACTAGCCAGGTGGTTCTCTGGGAGCTGGTGTGTGGAGAGGACATCCAGCGAGGGCGGAGGAGCCACACTCTGTCCAGCAGCAGCTGATGTGCAGCAAAAAGGGCCTTCCTGGTGACCACAGCATCTAAGGTCCGTGTCTGAGTCCTGAAGTCTCAGGACTGGGGGTGTGAGGCCACAGGAATGGCAGATACAGTGGACGAGAGCTTTTGTTGGGCAGTGGCGTCTGGGGCATCGTCTGGGGCATCGAGTTGAATTCTCAGCTGAAATTGTTAGGAAATTGACTAGCCATGTCTGTCATGCTGGGATTGGTTGGTAATGTCTGCCCTGAGCAGGGCTATCGCAGACCGCTACGGTACCTAGTACCGGGCATGAAACCCATCTGGGCTTTGAGTCAGAAGACTTGGTCCTGATACCTGGCATTCTCCCCACCAGCGCCATGGCAGGGAGCCCTGGGTTCACACTGGGGATGACAAAGCTGTTTGGAAGGTGGGCAAAAAGGCGCTAAGATCTTCACCTGTCATCAAGTAGCTTCCAGCTTAGAATCCATTCCCATTAGCAGGCTCACAGATGAAATTAGCTGTGGTGTGGGATTGGGTTTGACTGCTGGGTCTGTCCTACCTTGCTTGGCCTGAGGACATACGTTTAAGGGGGGGTGCCCCATGCAGTGAAGCTGTCCCCAACTTCTCTGAATACTTTGTTTCCCAGAAACCAGGAGGTCTGGGACCTCTTGCTTGAGGCAGGCACCTGAGGGGCTCATTAACCCAGCCCATGAGGTCCATAGGGAAGGATGGGGGAGCCAGAGCATGATGTAACCAAGAAAAAACACCTGGGGGGAGGGTGACTAGGGCCCCAATGTCTCCATCTTGGCCCCCAGCCCTGGACCCCCACTCTTCTCCAGATCCCAGCTGCAGATGGAAATTGCTGAGGCCTCTCAGGAAGGCCATGACCTTGGAGAAGACGGAAGAAGCCAGAAGACATCATTTATGGCGTGATCTCCCTGGGGAGTGGCAGGGAGGGAGGGGCATGGGGCAGGTAATGTTTAACCAGGAACGGCTGTGCCAGGTTTCCCGAAAAGAGGCGGATGTTTCCCTAGGCTAGCAGGGTGGGCTTCGGGGCTGAGTCCACCCTCTCCCTTAGAGGGTGAGGAAACCTGTGCCCAGAGAGGCATGGCCACCCTGGGAAGGGGCATGGCCGAGGGAGGACACGGCAATCTCCCCTACGCCTTAGTCCCTCTCCGAGGGCTGTCTTAGGAGTCCAGAGCCTGCAGCCCTAGCTGTGGGCCTGATACAAGGCCTGTCACATTGTCTGAAGTCTCCGCAACGCCCCTCCAGGGCAGGTGTTCGATTACTGAGCGCATGAGCCTACATCCAGCCAGCTGAGCACCCCAAATGCTTCCTGGATGAGCGAAAAGCTTGGGCTTATTCCCACAGAGCCTGGCCTGGTGCCTAGGGACTCCCCCTAACCCACCTGCTCACTTTACCAATGAGGAAACTGAGGCACTGGGGAGGGGTGCTCACCCTGCTGGTTTGGGAGAAGCCAGGTGTATTGATGCACTGTCCTGATTCCTTCCAACCTTCCAGAGTTGCAGAGAGACCTGGGGACTCCAGCTGCACCAAATGAGGACCCCTCTTTCTAGCCCCCCCCAAGATATGTGCCCCTCATTTAAGGCCTGGCTTCCTTAGGGAGCTTCAGATGACGGAGAGGGCTATCCACATCCCACTCCCAACTGCAATGGGCCTGCACGGCTATTGTGCCTCAGCTGGGAGGAGTTTACAGCCCAGCAGTGGGCCGGCGCCCAGAGCATCAGCTGGAAAGCAAGGCTCAGGCGCCTGCCCTGGGTGGTGGCTGCAGGCTGCAGGCTTCAGGGGCACGTCCTGTTGGGAGGTCAGAGGCGGCCTTCCAGAGGTCAGGTGTGCTCCTGGGCCTGGAACTTGATCTTGGGCAAGTTCTTGATACTCAGCTGTAAAATGGGGACAGTATAAGGCTGCGAAGAAGCAGCACAGCCAGGCTTCGAGCGAGCCGGCCACAGAGCAGACCAAATAAACATTGGTTAGACATTTGACAAAGGTGCTCAACAAATATCTGATGATTCTGGTCTTGTTCACAGCAGGTTTGTGTTCCATTTCATTATTATTTACTTTAAATAAAAAATGGTTAAAGGTAAGAATAGGAATGTTTTTCCTAATGAAATACATTTTTAAAGAAAAAAAGCTAATGATGTGTCCAAGTGTATAAAGGAGCATTTAAAGTTTGTTCTTGTATTTATTTATTTATTTTTAAAGATTTATTTATTTATGCATACAGAACTGAGGTACAGGCCAGAGGTGCAGGGATGGTGAGAGACAGAGTGGGGAGCAGAACAGGCAGATCAACGAAGTACACTGCTGAGGGGAGCAGTGGGCGGGTCAGGAGAGGTCTGCGCACCCTGTGGGTCACCTCCGGGACAGGCGGGGATCAAACTCATGCGGAAGCGGCTTTAGCTTCTCAGTGCTGTGCTGTAACCTGCTGCGCCCCCGGGGAGGGCTCTCTTTTTTACTTTTGCATAGAAGAGATAGAATAAGAGGATTCACCAGAGAGGGAGGCGCAGATCAGATGGACTGACTGAACCACACTGCTGAGGGGAGCAGTGGGGAGACAGAAGAGGTCTGCTGTGCCCTATGGTCACTCCCTGGCCAGGGATCGAACTCAGGCAGTAGCAGAGATAGCACTGAGACAACCCCTAGGCCACCAGGGAGGCCCAGAGCATTTAAAGTTTGATGTAATTTACTCAAAATGTCTCATCCTTACAAAGGGGAGAAGGGAAGTCAGGATCTAAGTTGGTGAAAAGTCTAGAACGTGCAGCTTTGGCGATCGTGATGTTCAAGCAGCTGGTCAGCAGCCAGCGTGGCCCCATCAGCTCCAGCCTGGCCAGCTCCAGGCTCAGCAGGACGCTCCTCGCCTTGTAAGCTGGCATCAGAAACACCATCCAAGCCGCCCTGGGAGGAGGGTGTCCTCTGTCCCCAGAAGCTCCCATGCAGGGGCCTCTTCTTGGCTCAGCTTGAGTCATGAGGGCCCCTGACATCACCCACTGTGGCCAGAGATAAGGCGAGGTCAGCAGGCGGAGTCCGGGCCCGCCTGAGCCTTAGCCGCAGGCGTGCGGGGTGAGAAGGATCCACTCCAGGACTGCGGGGGTGAGGGCCTGGAGAAGGGGCGCGCACGCTGGGCTGACGCCCCCTGGCCGGGCTCAGCTAGGCGCACACGCCTCTCAGCGGGGCTCTGCCCGGTCCCGCAGCTGGCCGAGCCGGGAGGAAGTCCACACGCGAGGGCCGCCCAGTCCGCTGAGAGGCCAGCTCCAGAGGAACTGGGCCGGACTGGGGCGGGGACATCGTGGGCTCCCCAGGCCACAGGAAGCTCGAAGGCCTGGCTTCACTCTACCGCAGCCCCCGTGAATGTGCAGTCACCCGGGAACTGGGTGACCTCACGGGCTCCATGACGCCATCACCACCTGGGCCCTGGCAGCAGCTGGCGCCCGCTCCCGTCCCCAGGGCCCCTCCCCGGCCTGGCTCGGCCCTCTGCCACCCTCAGAGCTCGGTGCTTCTGGTTCTCTGCTGTTCCTTTAACACTCACATCTTTCCCGGAAGTGACGGGATCTTTAGGAAGTGGGCAGGGAGTGAGAATAAACAGCTGAGCGTGGCAGGGCCCGTGGCCTGGGGGAGGGGTGCTGTGAGGTGACCGTGGTGGTCTGAGTCCCAGGCGGGCAGTGGCAGCTGTATGACCTTGGACAAGATCCTTGCTTCCTTGGCTATCCAATTAAGGGAAAGTCCTGGCTTTGCCAGGGCTGTTGTGACCAAAACCCGTATGGA